GCGCGTCTCCGCAGCAAGAAATAACTTGATGTATCTGTTTTTCCTCCTATTTCCAGGAAGTGGTTCTGTATTGTTTGGAAAACAAGGTGTGTGATGTGAATCATCGTGACAACGCGGGTTACTGTGCCCTGCACGAGGCCTGTGCCAGAGGCTGGCTGAGCATCGTGCGGCATCTCCTCGAGTACGGGGCTGACGTCAACTGCAGCGCTCAGGATGGAACCAGGTTAGCAGCATCCCCGGCCCGGCATCAGGTGGTCACCACCACCGGGGCAGCGGTTTCTTTGGCCACGATGGTGGGAGAAAGCAATGCCTTCCCTCTCTACTTATTTATCCTCCCTTCACCACCACCCCACCCCCTGCCCCATCCTGCATGAAACCCCCAAAGCGGGTGAGGGTGCGTGACGTGTGGTGGCCTCCTTATTGCTGGTCCTTGGGCAGGAAAATGCAGGACTTGAGGAGAATGCAGGACTTGGTGACTTCCTCTGCTCTCGGGTTAATAAAGGGGTGGGGGCACACTTGTGACTTGAGTTCAGCATAATTTTTTTCTCTGGGATTTTTTTTTTTTTTTTAAGAGTTTGTGAAATTCCCAGCCGCAGGGCAGGAAGGAGTGATACTTGAGTTGCTGCCCTGCTCGTATGGGCTCCGGGTCCTTTGAATTGTGCCAAAAGAGTGGGCTTTGCCTTGTTAGCAGGGTTACTTTTAAGAGCACTTCAGACTTTTGCGGCGATGGGGTGTGCGAGTCCTGGATATGCTATATACAAATGTTGTTTTGCTGAACTGTTAAACTCTATCTGCTCATTTGATATTTTAGAGGTTTGTTTTATTTTTTTTTTCTCCCGAATTTGGCTTTTTTAGTTTCCTTCACAGAATAGTAGGGGTGCTTAGTTCCTGTGCTCGAAGAACAGATAGTGAGCTTTGCTTTTTCTTTGGTTTGCAGAGCTAGAATGCTGCTCTGCACCTTTTTAAACTTCTTGTGCATCTCCTAAAGTACCTCTTTGACCATCTCTGCGGCGCTGACCTTGGGATAACTTTTCCTCAGCATATGCAGAACATTATCCACTCTATGCATTTTGGGGACGGGGCGCTTTGTATTCTTCGAAGCTCCCCGCAGCTTGTTATCTGAAACGGTTTATCGCATTCGCTATCACCATCCAAATAGCCAGGGAGGTAAAAATTAGCATAACTAAGAGTCTGCCTCTTTTGTTTTTAAGCTCTTTATTTATTAACTTGGGAAGGGAGGAGTCGGGAAAACAAAAGTCCCAAGAGGGCCGGTTAGGATGGTCCATTAGAGGTTCATGATGGTGAGTTGTTACCGGCCCATCACGGCCCAAAGGAAACGTTTCTGGATGGCTGGATTGTCAAATTCCTTCTCCATCTCTCCCTTCTTTGTAAGAAGTCTCGGTTCTCTAGGCTGACAAACAGCCCTGCATTTTCTGCTGTCTCCAGCTTTATATATGTGACCTATGCAACAGCGGCCAGTTGCCATAAAAAGAATCCTAAATTATTTTTGTCTCACTTGCTGGAATAACCTATATAGAAAATTAACCCCAGGGAGTTTCTGACCAGTCTTAATCACCCGCCAGTTCAGAGTCCACCTTTGATTTCGATTCACAGATGGAGCTGATTTTCAAGGATGAAACTTGGCTTGTGTACCCTGAAAAGTTTTTTGGGGAAAATGGATTTTAGAAATGAACATGATAATGATCTGATCATAGCTGGCAATGTCAGAACTCGGCTTGCTTTTCTGATGGCAGACTTATTTTTTGTTTGAAAAGCTGACCAACAGGCAGCATGAATCCAAAATGCATTTAATACACAGATGAAGGAGGGTCTGGCTGCTCTGAGTTGGGCAGGACAGAGAGCAGAAGCTTCTGTAAGGAACTTCTTGATCGGTGTTATCCCCTGCCTTTTGGTAGGGCCAAGCTTCTGTGTCTCTGTAGAGTAAATCATGACATTCATAAGACGAATCCTGTTTCTCTATTGAAGCCTCAGTAAGTTTTCCTCCTTTTAAGTTTTAGGAGGAAAGAAGCGTCAGTCTTACTCAACCGTGTTCCTTTTTAAATTCAAATTCCTGAACATGGTCACCTCTTGGAAAAATACTAGATCTTAAAACAAACAAAAAAACCCCCCAAACAAACGCACCATCAAAGACTTCTCTCTTCCCCAGCTTTTTTAACTACACTGAATATACCTTATTGCCCCCTCTGCCACCTCACAAGCCCATGAGCCAAAGATATCTTCGGTCCTGCTGGAAGTTTGCAAGTCTCCAGACAGTAACAGTGGAAGTGTTTAGTTCTGTTCAGCCAGTTAACGTAAATCTGCAAAGAGGAGTGATGTAACTGCATGAGCTGTGATGTTACTGCATACGCTACGTTTGTTAGCGTGTCATCTTGGGGTGTCACTTGGATCCCAGCTGCCTGAAGCTCCGGTCTGCCTTACTTGCTGCCTGCTGCCTCTGTGGCCAGCTTTTTGGAGGACGCGCTCTGAAAAGTTGTGACAAGTGAGGGTATGGCTTCAGTCTGACCAAAATGTCCGTACGAATGTGAAGGATGTAGGAAAGTTCTGCCCAGTCTGTGCGCATCTCTCCTTTCAGTCCAGAAGTGCTGCAGGTGCTGGGATTGATGTGGTGGTTTTGCACGTGTGCCTTTTAAGTTTTGAAAGTGAAGCCAAGACCTGAGCCTCTTGCTTTGGTGTTACTTTTCATGCACCTACGTAGCCAGTCTGTCCTGAGTTCAGTAGATCAGGTGGGCTTTCACCCTCTGGTTCCTGGTACTTTCGGCAATCTTGGTGAAGCCAAAACCAAATGAAGTGCCCGACTGCTGTGGCAGGGCAAGGAGGTGACGGTGTGTCGGGGGTGTAGGTATGGTGCAGTCCTTCCCGTCAGCCACAGCTCAGCGCTGGGGCTCTGCCTGCACGCCTGCTGCTGCCTGCAGCGCACCGTGTCCCTCCGTCTGCCCTGTTCTCAGCACATGTCTGGCCAGGCTAAATATGGTGGGTCTTCTATGTTTTTTTTTTCCCTTAAACTCCACGCTGGTGGTGGTTCTCCAAATGCAGCGGCAGCAGACCCTGAATGCACAGCATTCTGCTGCTGAATTAGTGGCTAATCAAAGATTATTGTAGAACGGGGAGAGATCTTTAAGACCTGTCTCAGAGGTGCCACAGTCACTAAGGGCTCTTAATCGTCTTACCTATAAATAATAATAGACTGTACTTAAGAGGTGAGCGCTTTTCTTCCCCGACAGGACCCCAGTAAGTGCAGTAGCTCAACAAGAGGCGTTCGGTTACCAGTGCCTGACGTTAGCGAGGATGGTTGCCGGTGTCTTTGGCCTTATCTCCTTGTTCTTCTCCTCTTCCCTTCGCAGCGTGCCCTAGCTGAACCGGCCCTGCTTTAAAAACAAAGCTGCATGCTAAAAATACAGACATCTCCTGCCTGTTAGCGAGGCCTCTCCGTTGCTTCAGGAGTTCGCTCGCTAGATCCGCTCTCCGCAGCCAGTTTTGCTTTATCCTTCTCGCTGGCGGCTGATGAGCTCAGCCTTTTTTTTTATTTTTTATGGCTCTCTTCCTGCGTCCTTTCAGCTGGTCTTGGCAGAGCGGTACCCTCCAGCAGCTAATTGCGTTAAAGAAGAGGCAGCCGGTGTAGCTGCCCTCCTGCAACTTGTGCTGTGCCTCTTGCGCGGGGCAGCGGTGCATAACGGAGTGGATGGAAGTAAAAATAAAATGCCAAGATACACGGCATTGCTTCGGCGAGTTACGAGACCTCTTATTGCCGTGGGGAAGATGCTGATGGTGCCTGAAAGGCTGAGAGCAAACCCTGACTGGTCTAAATAGTTTATAATTTTGGTGGTAGAATGATAAACTCCCAGTGAAATGTTTCCCTGACTCTAGTAGCGGTAAAAATAGTAGGAAGAATTCGACAGAACACAAGAGAGGGTGGAGATGTGTGTCTCCTGTAGGGATATTGCAGCTCTCGAATGTCCCCAGATCCTTCTGGGGCCTTTCGAAGAGTTTGTTTTAGAAACAAGCTGTACTACTGTTAACTGTACCATTAGGGATAAGAGAGTGTTTATTTCCACGATGCTCAGGGCGGAAAAGATTATATGGGCAAAGCAGCCCAGGAGAGGACTCCCAGGGATCTTTTTTTCACATCTGAAGAAGTTGCCGACTCCAGCAGTCACTTTGCATCCTACAAAGAGGGTGGTTAAACTCTGCCAAGACTGAAAAATACTCCCTCCTCTGTTGGCCCTGGTGGGAGAAGCAAACGCATAGCTGTGCCTTTGCATGGTCCCGCTCGTGAGCTTGCCAAGAAGCTGTGCTAACCAGTAAAAGAGTCTGTCAGCGCTCTGTTATTGCCTTTTTTCCCCCTGCCTTATCTATGGGGAATCTCCTTTTTTTTTTCATCTCCCCACCAGTGTTTTCTTTCCTTCCTTTGCTTCCTTCTATTTATTGTTCTTCCTCCTTCTGCGCAGCTTTACTGCGCTTTTCCTTCCCCTTGCCTCTATAAAGTCCCCTCTTGTGCCTGGGGCACTCTCCCTGTGCTCCGGTCGGCAACAAAGACCCCTCTGCCTGCTCCGCTGCCTGCCCCGCTGCCTCTGCCCCTGTCTGCACCACCGCGCTGGGCTGGGTGACCCGTAGAAAGGGAGAGGGGGTCCCATTCCAGGGTTACAGCTCATGTACTGCTATTTTTCCTTCCTGGGGAATGCCCAGGCACCCTTTAATAAACTCGTCCGGGTGTCGTTAAATCGATTGAAACACTGGGCGGTGATTTAGATGCTGTTTTTAATAAGTTAAGGGATCATCTTGAATTCATTACTGCTTCAAAAGCCACTTAGGTAAGCCAGTGTAAAAAAAAAAAATGAAAAAGAAACAAACAAGAAAACCCACAAACCAATAAACCCACAACACTCTCCAACCCCCCTCCCCTCCCAAACCAGAAAATCCTAATTCTAAAATGAAATGGAAAACAGTTCAAAATTAAAGACTCCAGTAAAGTGAAGGAGTGGGGGAAGGAAAAAGCATCCCCAGCATTTGGCGGCAGCCGTAACTCTCATCTGTTCCCGGTGCCTGTTGCCAGACTTTCAGCCGGGGATGCTTCATGCCCAGTGGGGGACAGGAGGGTTTGCAGCAAGGCTGACCTTTCCCGCTGTAGATGCTCGGAGTGTCGTGACCCGACAACTCAGGCCTCAGATGCTTGCTGACAGCCAGTAACACCCGATACTTCTTCAGCCCCCGTGTCAGCCACCCTTGTTATTTGTTACCTCTTGGGTTGTATCGCCTGGGATGTTTCGCACCGGATCCTGGATGCGCTGGGTACTGCGTAGGCGTGAGATGCTGCGGCACATCCCTGCACGGAAGCACTGAGTCAGTAGGTGGAGGTGGGAGGGTGAGGCTCGCGGGGGACCCCGGGAACGCTGGGCTTCTCTGGCACCACGTGGCTCGAGAGCGTCAGATAGTTTTCAGTGTTACGTTAGAGACTTGCCTGAGAAATTGTGAAGGGGTAGCCTGACCCTTTGCAAGTGATCCTGGCGGACCTCTCTGGTTTTAAAATTTGAACGTGGCTTTCCAAAGAGCAGCGCGTCAGGCTTTGAAGGCGTGCAGGCGTTGTTCTCCCTGGTGCCCGGGGGTCTGAGGGGTGGCATGAGCTGGATTGAGGACTGCGCTCAGCAGCTTGAGGATCACCTGCTTGTTTGCTGTCTCGGTGGCCTGGGGCGTGCAGGAGGCAGGCAGCGTGGGATGAGCCCTCTCTCCATAGGGAATGAGCCTCAAACTCTCCAAGTGCACCTCCTCCTGTCGATATAGCGTGCATATGTCAAAACCAAAACTGCGTACAGCTTTCCAGCAAGATGGGGGCAAGCGAGAGCGCTTCACATGTGACAGATGTTAATCGCCCTAAATCACAGCCTACTGGAAAGTACGTGGAATAAACACACCTGGAACATATTTCTTTTTGAGATGGATCAGAGTCCCCCTCCCACCAGCAGTGCTATGTGATGGATGGGAAAACAGTGGTGTGCATACCTTCCTCTTCTGGCTGGTTTGATCTGCCCCGAGCCCCTATGGATGCCAGTCCATACCAAAGCAGTGGTGGCAGAGGGGACATTGCCGCACGTGGCATAAGGAGTGATGGGACGTGGCCTCCTTGCAGGAGGAAGTTTCAGCTAAAGTCCTTCCGTGCTTCTCTTGGCTTTTAATACATCTGTTTGAGAGCTTGAAAATCTTCTTGGGGGGCAGTGGTGTTGACGGCCTAAAGGAGGAGGCGGGTAGATAGAGTCGAGTTGAACTGCCACCATCGCTGGCCATTGAATTTGACTCCCCTTTCAATTCCCTGCTCATCACTCTCTAAGAAAAAGATGGGATTTTAACACATCTTCATTAGTCTGAAGGGTAATATGTTCTACTTCCAGACAACTCCCTGTTACATATAATCAATTTTAAAGGCAAAAGTTAATGCGATTTATAATTGGCGATAAGGAATTCTAAACCTGGAATTGCAGGCCTGTGTATTAATGAATAATCCTTCTGCAGGCTCACAAAAATCTATGTCTGAGCTTGTATAGATTGCTCATGCCGCGTAAAATGCGGTAATTTCTGGGTGGACTAAACTTAAAATAACATGTTTTTCTTTTCTCCAAGTAGAAGGGTTGAATTGTGCTGCAAATATATTCGCAAGTACTGTTTAAAGAGGATATCGCACGGAAGTTTAATTCCTAGCAAATTTTCACAACTTATTTCTGTGTACATAATTTAGGAGCTTTGGGTAACTGATTTCTGTGCTTGCCCAGAGGCAGGCTGAATGAGCCCTTACTCCACAACACGCTGTTAAATTGGCAGAGATTTGGAACGGTAGAGTGACTTGCAGCAAAATTATGTTTGTGAGGCTTCACGCAAACTCCTGCTTTCTGTTACAGCGGTGTAATTATTTTACTGGCCCTTGAAATATGTACGGCAACAAATAGACGTAACAGAAATATGTGCCCCGAGCAGTCTGACTGTGAAAAGACAGGAGGGGAGGGGATGATGTGCAAGTAAAACCGACAATAAGATGATTGGCAGCTGTATTAATAGTGTTATTTGCTATAAATAACTTTGATCTGCAGTCAGAAGTTTCTTGTCAAAAATATTTCCATAATACTATTGAGTCTAAATGTAACACCGTGATCTTTTCTGTTTCCCCCTAGACCAATCCATGACGCCGTCGAAAATGATCACTTGGAAATTGTCCGCCTGTTACTCTCTTATGGTGCTGATCCAACGCTTGCGACCTACTCTGGGAGGACCATCGTGAAAATGACCCACAGTGAGCTCATGGAGACCTTCCTCACAGGTCCGTGGCCATGTTGTCTTGGGGGCTTTGCTGGTTGTGGCAAATGGGGGGGGACAGGATGCTCCCTGGTGCCCCCCGCTAAGTTGCTGCTGCCTGGCGGGGGTGGCTCCATGCTGAGGAGCGTTGGGGTTGGCTGCCGTAGCTCCCTCTCTGCCTGCAAAAACCCAGCGGCTGCAGGTGGGAGCATAGCCACGCATGGGGGCTCCTTCTAATTGAAACTCTTAATAAGTCATAAGGATTATGCCACTATCAGATTTGGTAGGTAGGTAGGTAGGAGGTCAGCGGGCTGTTTCGGTGCCTTCAGTTTTCTGCTTGAAATGAAAATAAGAAACTCGCCAAATCGAATAGCTCTTTGTTAAATGTAGTCATGTTTTCCTGTGGTCTGGCTTTTTGTCCTTCTACTACTTGTCTTTTTGCAAGTTCTGCCTCATTTTACATCTGAAATGCTGTAAAACTATATTAAAGGCTCTTGTCTTTAAACATGTCTGAGTTCTAACAAGATTTTAGGATTTTTTTCTGTTAGTTTTGGGTAAAGACACTTGCATTCACAAATAATTTACCTCTGAAAATGCCTGCAGTGTTCACAGTCAATGAGTTTAAGTACTCATCCGCTTACCTGTTTAAATGGTGCAGTGTAGAAAGCAGGTAGGTGTATCAGGACTCCAGTAAAGTCCAGTAGCTCGGACTTCTTAGCATCTTGAATCCCAGTATCTTTTCATCAGCTCAACATGCGAATCTCCCAAATTACATCTGTAGAAAAGAATTGCATCTTCTGAACGTATCTGTGTGGAAAAACCTTTTCCATCGGTTTCTCTGGGGCCACTGTTTCACCTCTAAGTTGGTGTCCAGAGTAACTGTGCAGGCTACAAAGAGTGGTACACCCCGTCTTTCACAAAAATAAAATGCCACTCTCGGTTTCTGAAGCTTAAGGTTGGGTCTGTCCCTGGTACACCTTGGGTGGTTATTTGATGTGGTGGGTCATTATTTGATGTGATGGGAGACAGAGTGCAGGAGAAAAGCGAATTCCAGGAATTTTTGTGAGAATGCTGCGTACGTGCTGTTGTTTGTAGCGTGTGCCTCAGGAATACGGTGTGGGTTTTTTGATGGAAGGTATGGAGGATGCATAGTGAGACTGCATGACACACGGTCTGCTAAACTTGCCAGCTTTTTGTTCTCATCAGTATGTTTTTGTTGTTGTTTTTTCCTCTCCAGAGTATTTAACTGACCTGCAAGGTCGAAGTGTTGATGACCCTGGTTTGTACTGGGATTTCTATGGCAGCTCTGTGTGCGGTGAGCAAATGTTACCCTTTATTTCTTTGTATGCGGAGACTTTCAAAACATACGGCACGTGGGGGTGGGGGCTGTTTTGTTTTTATGGCGGAGGAAGCTAGGAAGGAAGCAAACTGATTTTATTTACAGATCACGTTATTGGAAGAAAAAGCAAGACCTGCAACAGTCTCTTCAATGCTGACTTGGCACCTTTATTCAATTTTATTTAGATCCGAAAGATGAATCTGGATTTGACATCTTGGCAAATCCTCCTGGCCCAGGTGACGAAGATGAAGATGGCTTTAGCGATGTGTTTGAATTTGAATTTTCAGATGAGCCTCCCTTGCCGTGTTACAACATACAAGTGTGTCTCTCTCAGGGGTAAGAACAAATACAGGGCTTGGGGTAAAAATAGCTGAGACCGATCTGCTTGGGATGGCAGCAGTTTGTGTCTGGGGGGAAATGCGTTTGCATTTATCTAACGTAAATGAGCTAGCATAACTGCCGGGCTTTTTAGAAATAAGCGAATAGGAGGTGAAGAGGGGGAAAGGCTGACTTGTCAGGGCTGTGTTTAGAGTGCCGTACTCCTGAGCTGAACGAATGATGTCTGAACATAGATTCCTTCCCTCATCCCAGGCAGGCATGTTGGTGTAACATCCCAAAATACAAGTGCTTCTAGCACTTACATTTGGATATCCTGTTTGTAAGGTGTTCTTAATTTTATTTAATGGGCTTTTCTGTTTTGCTGAGTGGACACGCTGTTGTGGATGATGAAACACCACCGTTACTGCTGTTCCAGACTTTGCGGCAAAACTGGTTTAAAGCCCTGAATCATATCAAACAAATAAACATCTTGCAGAAGATACTATGATACTTAATAATAAACAAAGACCTGGAAAATTTTGTCATCTGTTATATTCAAGATATAAATTAGCTTCATAAACAGCTAGCGTTTGTCACTTGCACCGGTTTTGATGACAGCCGTGGGAAAAATAGTTTTAAATATTAATCGTGCAGGAGTGCGGGTTTTAGCATGTTTTTATTATTTGGGTGGTGGATATAACTTAAATTCTCTGAAGTGGACAAATACAAAGATGGAATTGAAAAATTGTATTCTTAATCTGAGAAGAGCCCCTCTCTGTTGACCTGTGTTTAATGCTGGCATCTCTGGAAGTCAGAGGTGCTAAAATTTCTGATTATAACTCTAGGCCATCTCCTTACTTGCTAAATGGGGGTTGGGCTCAGCCAGGTGAACCTTTAACCGTGTGAGCAGCCGTCGGGATGGCCGCTGACCCACGTGTGCGCTCATGAGCCCTGGGTTTATAGGCTCCGGTGCCCCTGCGTGCGTGGTCCCCCTCCTTCCCCAAAGCTGCAGGCAGCGGTACTATGAGTAAATACGTATGCACCTGCACATCTGTTATATTCGACCCCCTGGGCAATGGTCTTGGTTTCAGGGGGGTTGTTTGTGGGGGTATGGTGGGGGAGGGTTTGTCACACAGCGGTACAGTGAAGAGTCAAGAAGCCCGTGACTTAATGTCGGTTGTTGGAGCCTCTTTCTCCTTCGCTTCCACAGACCACGAAACTGGCTTTTGCTCTCGGACGTGGTGAAGAGGCTAAAAATGTCATCTCGCATCTTCCGCTGCAACTTCCCCAATCTGGAAGTTGTCACCATCACGGAGGCAGAGTTTTACAAACAGACTTCCCTCAGCCAGTTGTTCTCTTGCGCTACGGACCTTGAAGCTTTTAACCCGGAGAGCAAAGAGCTGTTGGACTTGGTAGAGTTTACAAGCGAACTCAAGACTTTGCTCGGCTCCTCGCTTCACTGGTTGCATCCGCACGAGGACCCTCCCTTCGACATCCTCTGGTGAACCATCAGGCCATTTAATGTACAGTGCTCTATACAGTTACTTCTTTATGTATATGTGTTCAAATGCAATTGTTTCTGTAAAGAAAGGACACTATTAAATATGAAAATATCTTTCCTTTATATAAGAGATCTGAATTCCAGTTGGATGGATTTTGGAAGAATTTTTTTTTAACTTCAATCAGTTTTTACAAAATTGTTATATAATGTTTCTTTAAATGCACACAGGCTTTGGGATAAGTTTGTTATTACTCGGAACACATTTTTTTTTAAAAGAACACACCCACACATTGACTTTGTTTCATACAAAGCACTGATTACACAGAACATACTTTTTCTAGGTGATGTGATCAAAGTCGTGTGGCTTGTTTGGGAGATAGAATTCGGTAAGGCACTTGGTGATATTATTTTTGGTTTTTTGTTTACAGAATTACCTGCTTTGGCCAGGTAAGCACTATTGAATATAATTCAATAGTTTGTAATATAAATTAAACCATATCCATACGCATCAACTAATTGTAAGAACTTTTATATCCTAATTTAAAAGCTGTGAAATTTAGTTTTCACACATCAAACCGGATTGTTTATATATGTTTAAACATTTTATGCTCTTTATTTAAAGAAGACTTTGAACTATTTTTTCTGTACCTTGTAAAATATTGAAAAACTAACATATGTTGAAGTTGCTTGAAACTGTACATAAACTAAATTTTCTGAATTGTGTGTTTATGTTTGAGATCTGTGTTTTAACTTTGTAAGTAAATCTCCTGCCTTTGTATTTATATTTTACAAAAATTTTCTTAAAGGCAATAAAACTGTTGAGAAATGAAGAGGCTAAAGTGACTCCCATTAATTCCGTGCCTGGTTGCGAAATGAGCTCCGACTCATTAGTGTTTGTGAAAGGAGGCTCCGCGTGCGGTTCCCGAAGCGGAGCGGAGCTGGCACAGGTGCCAGCGAGCAGCTGATGAAATCTGAGGTAGAATCTGCATCGGCTTTCTAAATTCAACGCTACAAGAAAACATCGGGCGGGTGCCTTTTGTGGGACAGAGGTTTAAAAGCGGTATTCACGATTCTTTCTGCACCGCCTTTTAGTTAAAGAATTGTGAATAGGTTCAATTATTTTCCCTCCTTTGTCATCATTTTAAGTTGAATTGACTGAATTCTCTTTTCAGTGCTGCCTGCAAAAGGGAGGAAAATAGTACCAGGGTAAATGCTTTAGTTTTAATGTGGAGCATTAAAGCTATGAGCGCACTTTGGGGGGATCTATAGGGACAGTGATCAAAATGCCACTTTTACACAGCTTGGGACCTTGCATCTAAGAGGCTGGGCTCCCTGGGCTTGGGCAGGCCCTCTCTTAAGGGTCTGGGTCTGCCCTTCCCCTTTTGGACAGAAGTTTTTGCTGTGAACCCAAACTCTTTACATATTGCTTTGGGGCAGTTTTTCACACTAGTATGTCCTGTGGTAGCCAAACGCTTCAGCTGAGATGTTCGAATCGTGCTGCTCTTCTGATGATGGCCGGGACACCCACCACAAAGGTCTCCAGCAGAGCACATGGTCCATCTGAGAAAAGCATCTGGGAAAAAGTTTCTCCCTCTGGAGCAGTGAGGCTCAGAAGTTTTGATTAATGGACAGTATACTGCAGGTTAAACCTTTGCTCTTGGGGGAGCTTAAGAAAGGGTGTGAATTACCCTCATCCTGAAGGTAAGGGAGAATGATGCCTTATTCCTGAAGGTGCCCCAGAGGGAAAGATGCAGAGCTGATGCCTCTCGTGTGTTGCATTTGAGTCTTTTGCCAAATGTTTGTGCTGCGTGGCTTGCAGTGGGACTGCTTCTGGGGGTAAGGTGGTTTTGTAGCCGAGCCAAGAGGCAAGAGAGGGGTCCAGCAGCTGTCTGCTGCTGGCAGCTGAAATCCCGTCTGCCCACAGGACAGGGAATTTTTAGTCCTAATACAACAACCAACATCTTTCTCCAGACTTTGGATAAGGATGATGGTGGTGTCTCCTGCACGGCTTACATGCACACCCTGGGTTTTCTTTTAAGCCAGCCCCTTTAAGCTCTGCAAGGAACTGAAAGACAGACGTCCCTGTTCTCCAGGGCCGGCTGCTTTCACCCCCTGCTTTTCCTGGGAAACAGAAGTGGGCCAGAAAAACTAAAGCGAGGGAGAACATTAAAAAAGCAATTGTTACAGCCACCTTTATCTGATCAGCTGCGTAATGCGCTTGGATGGTTTGAGCTGAGCATAAATCAGCTTCGTACCGCTTCCAGGGGTGCGTGGCAGACACCTCACTTCTCACCGTGCCCTGCAGGCAAGCAGAAGATTGACGAGACGTGGCTTCCTCTTTTGGCCAGCTCCTCCTCAAACGATCTCGGGCACGTGCTCTCTGCACATCTCCGCTTAGTCAGCTTTCCCACTGCCTCCACCAAGTACAGTTGGGCCTTCTCCATGCTGGCGCTTGCATCCCTGCTCAAATACAGTAACGGCCTCATGTTGCTGCAATGCGAGCGTGTGCCTGCCCCAGCGCCTGCCTGCGCTCCAAACATCGGGCCGTGGTGGGGAACACCTGATCGCAGTGCTGTCCCTTGACATAACGCAACCATTTTATCTTCTGGGAGTTACTTTTTTGAAGAGACTTCGAGAGAGCACGGAGGGCACTCAGCGAAGGAGGAGGGCGGCATCCCGTCCTGCTGGGCGCACAAGGATGGCTTGGCTGTCCCTATTGTGAGCAGTTTGGGAAGAGATTGTCGCAGGAGAGGCTGGCTGCATGCATAGTTTTGCAGTAGGCAAGCCCAGGGGATAGTTACCTTGGGGAGGGGAGAGATGGCGGCGTGCCGGCAGGGAGCAAACTCGGTGACGACCAGCGTAGGCAGGGGAGTGGAAAAGCCGGCCGCCTTGCCAGCACCGGGGCTGGATAAATCCTGCACGGCGCAGAGCTGGGGGCTGAGCTAGCTCCAACTCCAACCAGCACGGCAGGGAAGGGGTCGATGTTCAGCATTTCAGCTTCTGGACTCAACGCTGCTCTCCTTTAAAGCGCTTTCCCCGTGCATCCTCCTTGGGCCAAAGATACTTGCTCGCTTTGCGCCGCTGGCACTGCTCCAAGGTTATTAAAAAAATAAGGAAACAGAAACGCAGCCTTTGGGGATGGTAAAACCTTGCCGATCCCGTGTCCTGCCTTCTGCAAGGTCAAAGTGCAGCGTTGATGCTGTTGGGGCCCGAGCCAAGGTGTTTCCTTGAGATTTCCCCTGCTCATCGCTGGGCTTTGCCTGGCTGGGCGGTTGCGCTGCCCCTGGGAAGTGTTGGAGAATCACTGGTGCCCCATCACCAGCTACAGCAAGCAGGTGAGCCTCACTGAAGGGAGTTTCCTTCGTCAATCTTTTACTGGGTGCTGGCTGGGAAATCCCAGGAAATACCCGGCACCAGCCTGGCTGCCTGGGGCAGGGGGGGAGGCGGGAAGCCACAGCACGGGCAGTGCTGGGAGGTTTCACCCCTCCCCAGATAAGTGATGCTGCTGAGCATCGCGAAATATTGAACTCCTCCTTCGCCTTCTTGCCTTACCTACCAGGACTGGGTTCTGCATAGCGGGGCTCAGCCCTGGGAGTTTCCCGTTTGGGTTATTTCTCCTGCTGGACATGGTCTCATTTCTTCTGCTGTGCTGTTGTCTCCCCTTTTGCTCTTGTGGCCTAGCTGGAGACCTGTGCCAGAGACACTGATAGGGTGAGTGGCAAGCAAAGGGCCAGAGGCGTGTGGTCCTTGTTTGTGCTCTTTGGGGAGCAATCTGCTAAAGGGAGAGCCCAGATGCCCGCTGGAAGCCCGACCCAGCTTCTAGTTTGCAGGATCACAGGAGCAGAATGGAAATTGTCTTCAGAACTGCTCCCAGGGGCCGAGCTCACTCCATGAATCAAAGAGTTTGAAGCTGACTCCTCCCTTCATTTCTGTGCTAAATAACGAAACTATAGATGAGACCCATCGTTTGTGCATTAATATGAACAAGGTGTCAGGGAGTGGTAAATGCAGGCAGCTGCCATTCCCAGGCTCTGCAGGGCTGCTGGTAAACATTCAGCATCATTTCTTCAGTTCGTACAGGAAAAAGGCACATGTTGCTACTTTAAACTTGTACAGATGCAAGCTAACTGAAAAAATAGTGTTGTATCTGTTTAAAATTGTTTGCAGAACATCATATTTTCATTTCAGTATGGGTCCAGTTCGTAGGAGAGGGCTTGGCACCACTACACAAGACGGAAGAGTTGAATGCCACAGTCGTGAAGACATGTATTAGGTCTTTTGTCAATGTGCTTATTCACCATTGCATTTCTGCTAGAAGGAGGGGCAGGAGAAGAAAGTGACTGGAATCCAACAAGTTTCACTTTGTGAGCTTGTAGCGTTGTCAGGAGAAAAAATCCCCAAATAGATCTGAAGAAGATGAAGTTCTTTCTAAGTGCCATGTCTAGATGTCCGCACCGTCTTCCCACCTATATCAATCTTGCTAGTTCTGCATTTCACCCGTTAGTCCGCTTTGCATGGGTTCACCATGGTTGTAGAGTGAAGAAATTGTGTTTTCTTGCAAGTTAAGTGTGATGGATCATTAGGAGCAACACTGCCTTCTACCCTTGGGGGTGCAGGCAGCCAGTTGCTTATTTCTGATTTGCCAGCCCCAAAGCAAACCTTGTCCACACCATGTGCACATTTTGCTCCAGAAGACCGACGTGACTGTAGACGGTTGCTCTCTTGAGCCAGGTATAAACCACAATTCTGCCACTAAATAGATTTTCCTTTTGTTGTCACATTAATTTGCAACTCATTAATAGTGACAGCAGTGAGGTACTGCACTGATGCAGATTTGCATATTCATGACCAACTTATTATTAAACAAATAAGATTTCCCTAGCTTAGGAAGCACCCAGAGTAATACCACATTGTGCATTATATCATCCTGGATGTTTTATTTTCTCTTTAGTATGTTAATAGATGTAAGGGGTGCTCTTTTTTTTTTAAATAAATGTGCATCTATAAAATAACATGTAATTTAAAATATCAGAATCGTTTAAATAGTAATCAATTAACAAACCTGCCGATAATTGAGCAGGAATACCCATTTAATGTACAAATCAATTAATCAAGTGTAACTGCTGGCTTTGTCGCCTGATGACCGTAACACCGGCAGTACTAGCAAGGCACAACTGAGTCACTGTACTGGCGAGGTGAGCGAGGGGCAGACAGCTGATCCCGTGTTTTATGGTTCGTTACAGTCAAATTGTTTGGTTTTCATAGGTGCTTTTGTTTCTTTCCCCTTAGAAGAGTGGTGGGAGAAAAAGTGAAGACTGCGCCCATTGTGGTATCCGCTGGCATCCTCTCACCTTATGGACACCTCCCCGGCATGGTGGGGGGAAATGTGGCCATCACAGCTCCATAAGGCCCCCCTGTTCTCCCTTATCTCTGCCGGCAGGCACTCCCCCGTGGGTACCGCCTTGACACCCGATGGTGTCCTGCGGTCAGATATTTTACTTGCTGGTAATGGTGAAGGCCCTTCGCCCACAAAGGAGAGCAACTTTTTTTCTATGGGGCTATTCAAGACTAGTCAGTATGCATATCAAAACCCTCTTCAGCTCCCTGCTGCATCCATATTTTTCATTCCTTTCTGGCTCTTTTAACAATTTATAGGATATTTGGCATAATTACACGTGTGGGAACCAGCTGCTTATTGCAAAGTTCCCCTCAGTCCTCAAGTTATTTTTTTTCCTGGTTTGACTTTCCAGAGGCCTTTGACGGCATTGCCCAACCATGAGGCCAAATGTGGTTCTTGCCCTATCCTGCTGTTTCCTTATGAGTCACAAGCC